GCTGCTGGGGTATGCACATTTCTTAGTGAATTTGAACTTAACACTGAACATTTTATGACTTTCACTGCAAAATTCAGATGTGACAAATGGGGAATTTGGATTTTTGAAGTGTGAATTATAAAAAGTTGAAAATGTGGAAAAACAATGATTAAACTTGTATTCGTCTGAAAGGTCGCTGCTAATTAAGCTAGTTCCATAATTCCGTGGGTGTCTTTAAAAAAGTAAAAAGCTTTGGGATTGGTGCTGTTTTTGACGAGTGGTTATATAATATTCCCTAACAAGTGCATTATATTTTATTCTTACAGGTTCAGAGAGAAGAATTTAAGTTTACAGAAAGTGCATGTATTAATAAAATGCCTGGAAGCGACAGTAAATGAAAATCCACCAAAACTTGCGGTGAGAAACTTTTATGAGGCCATTATCTCTGGGTTGAATGCTAATACTTAAGGCTAATAGCGGCTGCAGAGTCTTGTACAAAGGGATGGCCAAAATAAATAAATGAAAGAACATCGATAGGAGGTTTTTGCAATGGAGCCACAGTGCCCCCGTGTGGTAGTGGAGAGAATGGAACTGTTCCAAGTGCACTTTGTTCTTTTACTTAGTTGCACACATTTTTAACAAAATACAAATTTACAGTTTTTTACCTTAAATATTGATTAGTTAAAGCTTGGGTACCTAACTTTTTTCATAAAAAATACATAGTAAGACATTTGTCCCAACAGAAAAAAAACAAAACAAAAAATCAGAATATAATTTTATGTTATCTTCAACTTAAAAAATTAAAAAATATTCGCTTTTGCATATTTGTAAAAAGGAGCCCTGTGAGTCACTTCTTGGTTCTTTTTTTATTTTGAGTGAAGGTTTTGTAAATTGCACTTTTGTCATGTGTGACAGTTAGATTTCAAGTTAGGTTTTTGGATGACTCAAAATCATATATTCCACAGATAGCGGATGCTAACCTGCTAGCTCCATGACACCCAATAGGGAAGTGCTCATGGATGAAGATTTTCTCCAACTTGCTCTAGCACCTTTTGACTTACATTGTAAAGCCAACTCCTCAGTTACTGTTTGTGTCAAACTCACTATTTTGTGCTTACAATAATCTGTGGTTTAGCGCTCTCTTCGATCCTGGTGTTTATGTAAGGGATAACGTATATTACGCAGGTCATTATCGGAAAATAAGTACCGACAGGGCGAAGCTGTCGGTACTTCCGCCCTTATTTTCCAATAATGACCTGCGTAATATACGTTATCCCGCTTATTATACGGCTTTATACCAACAGAACACACAACATAAACTTCAGTCCACTTTTAGGAATGCCGAAAGGTTTATTCAATGACAGAGAATAAAATAGTTCCCAAAGGCTTTCCTGTGGCTATGCTAGCAAGTTAGGCTGGCAACTTCCAAACTAGAGCTCTCTGGAACTGCATGAAAACTGAACAAAGAATTCTGAACATCAGCGGTGAGTGACCCATACATAAACCTAACCTAAATCCATAATTCGAGCCTCTGCAAATGTGTCCTAAAATTTAACATTTAAAGCAATTCACGGACATCATGTCCGCCATCTTGGATTGCTTCGGCTGTCGGGAGACGCGCATGCGCAGGTTTGCATTACATCATTAACAGCAGAGGGAGATTATCTCGACGGGCAGACCAACTCGACAGAACACCGGCCTTTTTAGTTACAGTGTGAAGCGAACGTCGTTAGAACAAACTTTTCTGACGGTGCTTTGAAAAAGTGAACAAATGGCTCTGCGCACTTCGGTACCAGGCGGGTATTTGGTCATTGGATGAAACCATTGTGGGTACCATCTGATACACATTGTTATTTTTCTGTTTGAAAATTGTGCGACACTTTATATAACGCTGCCAACTGTAACTCATTTTATTAACTGGCACCTTTATTGAATTGTATTTTAATATGTATTTTAGTAACTTGCACTTTTATTGAACTGTATTTTAATATTAAATTAAATGATTGCCAGGCGACAGTAGCTCAGTTGGTAGAGCATTGGCCTTTGGGCCTGAAGGTCGTGGGTTCGAGCCCACCGTAAGACCTACTTCACGACTCCCACTGATGACTGCTGTCGTTGTGTCCTTGGGCAAGACACTTAACCCTACTTTGCCCAAAGCCCCAACTGAAAGATCTCAGCTCCTGTGGACTCACCACCTGCAGGAGGATCAGTGAGGGGCTGGTGCTATGTGTACTGGGTGCAGCTCTGACTGCCACCCCCCCGACCCAGAAATGGATTAAGGGGAAGAAAATGGATGGATGGATGGATGGATGGATTGTCAATTGGAAAGTAGCATGGTGCTAAATCTGGTGCAGCCATATTTTTTACGCAATTGCACATTATCTTCAATAAATGAAGCATAAACTTAAATGCCCACATATGGAAATTGGCCCAGCTAGCTTATCTTCAAATCAGCTTCTCCCACATTGGGCAAACAACATGTGGGACGTCAGAGCACAGGGACTAGCCAACTGCTGGGACATTGAATACTAGGAACTGACCTGCTGGTGCCCAGAGTCAGAACTAAACATAGGGAGATAGCTTGAACATATATGCAGCTATAACTCTTCTGAAAAAGTGGAACAAATCTCTGCTGTCACAAGGTTCAAACTGTAATTCCATTTTTTACATTTTCTATCCATAATTTCCTTTGTTTGTGTGATCCTTTGAAGGCATCCTTCCATACTGCCCTTTAACTTTGTGAGTAAGAGGCCTGCTCCTACCTCCCCTCTGGTGCATCTTTCTTAATGCTTCCAAACCACTTCCTTAGTGGGCTCTGGAGAGGGACGCTCAGTCTTCCATTCTTACTTAGGCTCGGCCTTCAAGGAAGTGTCCTTAGTATGTTTCCTTTTAAATAAATAAAGACAATACCCCGCCTTGCTTGCACCGTCACAAGCAGGCTTGATTTCCCAGTATACTTCACCTCGATCTCACCTAACAACAGGAAAACTGTAGAGAAGGAAGGATGAAAGAGGCTGCGAGTACCAATTTTAATCTTTTGGTTGTTGTCCTCGCTGAGAGCTTTACTATGGTTTACTTAGCTTCAGTGTTAGGGATATGGATAATGTTGGCTTTACAGTGGTCCCGTGTTTATTACAGGGTTACGTTTAAAATATAGCCTGGATAGGATAAGCACAAGAGAAAGATTCAGAGGGATTAAGAGATCTTTTATTTGTCCCACAGTCGGGACATTTCAGAAAGAAAGGAAGTAGCATCTATGTGTTTTAAGGCTGAAGTCAGGACTTCAGGTTGTTGTAGGTCGTTGTAGGTCTGAGCGCTGCTGCAGCAGTCAAAAGCCGTGCATACTCTGTAAAACGCCGAGGTGCCGAGGTAGTCCTCCAAACTAATCACTAAAGTTTTCTTCCAACTTTAAATAAAGGTAACTGTCCTGTTCTACATAAAGGTTACAGTATGTGATGTTGTTGGAGGATACACGCAGCACACGAGAAGCATGCTGTTAAAAAAGCACACAAAATTGCACAAACAAATATCTTTGAAACAGCAAGGCAAAGAGGTGGTGTACATTCTTATATTGTTTGAGTATTAAGACAATATACAATGGGAAGGCCACAAGCCACAAGCATATCATTCACTCTAAATGAAATTGTCAGCACTTAATAATGCTAAGATAGATAATAATGCTTGGTAGAGCACTGGTTGTGGGTTCAATCCCACCACGACCCATGTCATCTGCTCCCACTGATGTCTGCTGTTGTTGTGTCTCTGGGCAAGACACTTAACCCCACATTGCCTGAAGCCCCCGCTGAAAGACCAAGGCCACGTATTCCAGAACGGAGAAGCCATCATCCTGTGGAACCACCACCTGCAGGAGGATCAGCGAGGGACTGGTGCTTTGAGACGTGTGTGGCAGCTCTGGTTGCAACCCCCCAGACCCAGAAATGGATTAATAAAGGGGAAGACAATGACATGACATGACATAAAATGACATGACTTCATGGCTTCAGTGAATCAAGCTAAATGAAAGCACTCCTCAGAATGCTTTTTTTTGCCAAAATGCTTATTTTTATCATTATATAGATAAAAAGTAAATTTCTGTCCTTTTTATTATACTATCCATAACATTTCAGAACTGAGACAAAAATAACCCTTTGCTGTAATATTCAAAGCTGGGGTAATTTTCAAACCACAACTTTGTAATTATCGGTCTGTAGCGACTGTACGACTGAGAGCTTACACAAACTTATCGGTCTGTAATGAAATCTATGTAGCTTGTGCCTGGGTCTAAAACAGATTGGTTTCATCACTAGTTCTCAACTGCATGTACTTTTGGTCTGCAGATGAGCAAGTGAAAAAGAGAGGACCCCCCCTCACTCAGCCAATCAGCTTTCAGCCCAAATAGTAACTCACACAGGGCTCTTTCTTACAAGTCTGCAAAAGATAACATGTTAGATTTTACAAGACTGTTGCTATTTGTGAAACCAAACAAGTTAGGTACCCCAGCTTCAAAGATCAAATAATAGCCCCTGTATCATGGATTTCTCACGTTGTACTGTATATCACACAAACTCACACATTGATTTTTATTTGTATTTATTTGTATTATTATGGTTCGCATTACATAGATATTACATACAATGCACAAAATAAAGGAAAGTGAGAATTTCATTATAACAATGAAAAAAGAAAAAAAGAAAGAATACAAACAACAACAAAAGAGATTAAAATCATACCAGTATTTTTTTATTGTACATACATTTATGTACATTTTGGATATTTCCCATATGGCTGATTGATTTGAATAGCTCTATGTATGCCTGCCCCTACCACCCGCCCACCACGACGCACCACAACCATGAGACCAACCAGCATACAGCTACAGTCACTGCCAGCCATGTCTTGCCTCTGAATTATCACTGTTTTTAATCGCATTTTTACGCACACGCTTTGGCCACACGTGCAGCTCTCCATCACTCATTTTTACGTTTCGTTTCCCTCCCCCCCTGAGTTCGTGTGGCAGAAATATGGTCTCTTCTCCTGCGGTGGACGGCAGATGCGGCGTTGGGCTGCTCAGCGCGCTCCTGCTGCTGCTCTCAGCCTCCGGTAAGAGCCACCACAACACACCCCTCCGCGGCGCTGCTGCACTGGTACTCCTAATCTGCAGTTATTAGCCAGATAATTGTATTCTGCTCAATTGCCACTTCATATTTTCCCACCAAAGCACCAATATTGATGCTCTCTGTCCGCGCGTAAAGACGGTGCCTGTTAAAAGCCTTGCATTTCCCTCCTCCTGTTTATAAGGCCCCTCCATTAGAATTGCATTAGCGCGGGGTTTGTCTTGACCACATTTTGCTTTTATCTGGTTTATTTCCCGCTGAGATTCAGGGCGATTGCATCTCCTTTTTACCCAGTTTAGACAGGGTGGGTAGGGGGTGGGTGGAGGGGCACTTTATATTCTCCAGGCGCAATTATGGAAGCGTAGAGGAGCATAAATAAACAGTGCATAGTCATGTTACAGCCGAGTACAATAAACTGCTGAAGGCCTGGTGTTGACTCATGGTGCGTATTGGTCCATGGTTCATTTTGAGTCAGTCCGAAGAGCGTATCCAATAAAATACACATATTACAGAAAATTTGACGTGGTTTGAATGCCGTTAAATGCCAATGGTAACATAAATTGGTGAGCAAAACGTGTCTCTGATCTATGATTTTTACAGGTTGTTTGCACACAGTATTGACGCTGTATCGATCCGCCTCATTATAAAGGCCACACTCGTTAGAATGTGATTGATGACATGCAGTCCGTCAGAGTACATGTTGTGAACGCCTGGGAGATCACGTGACATCCAGCTGTAGCGAGAGCAGAGATTGGAGATACACAAGTTTTTTATTTATTTTTAACGTTTTGACAAAGCATAATATTATAATTTGGTTTTCTATGTTTTTAGGTCATATTATGATCGTAAAAATATCATTATAGGGATAATTACCTGCCACCTGCATGTGAAGCCAGACCTCTGAAGCTAAGCAAGGCAAGTCTTGATTATTACTGTGATGGGAGACCGCTGGGAACATGGCTGCGGCTGTAAAGTGCCAAACTGTCATTGTGTCCTTTAGGTAAGACACTGTGTGAATGGTTAGTTGTGGGTTGAAGGGCCTGATGGCACATATTGGTTGCCTTGCTTCTGTTGGTGCGCCTCACACACAACCCATATCACATCATGCATAAATCATCAAACATTAGAATCTACATAAACATTAAAAAAACACATTAAGAGCACAGGATATATTAAAAACATAACAAATAAAATCACACAGGTAGTTAAAAACCTTAAAACATCAAAATCACACATGGGATTAAAATCATAAATAGCCATTGTACATTAAAATTTTAAAGATAAAATCATTCATGTATCGAGTGTCAAAAACTGCAGTCCGATCCAACAACTTTTTGTCATTGTCAATGCCAATATCAAATACGGGTATCGTATCAGTGCCTCCCTGATCATAATAACACCACATTTTATAAGATGTGTAATATTAGTATACTGTATCTAGGTGAAACTCGAAATATTGTTCAAAAGTCCATTTACTTCTGTAATTGAACTTGCAACGTGAAACTAATATACAATAGACTCATTACTTGCAAAGTGACATTTACCAAGTTATAATGTTGATAATCAGCTCTCGGCTTGCAGAAAACTCCAAATAGTACATCTAAAAAACATATATACAAATATGTATATATGTGTGTTTTTTTTTTTTTAAAGACTGTAAATCCTAATTATCACATTAGAAACAAACAAAGCCTTCACATATGTTGCTTGGCATTTAATGAGTCTATATCATATTGTTCTTACATTTTAAATTGAATTACAGAAATTAATGAACTTTTTAATGCTGGATTATACCTTTTCCCCCAAAAGAATGTACTGAAATGTGGCTATATTGTAAATTGTTCAGAGACTAAATCAGATTCTATGAATTGTGCATTGTTTGGTCAGAAAGCCAATAATAATGTTTAATAAATGTTGTCGGTTCTCACAATAAATGTAACAATAGTGTTGTAATGAGATATCACTTGTGTGTTGTAGTATGTACAGTATGTATATATGTATGCATATGAGAAAAGTATTTGCATCAGAAAATATTTATGCCTGAGTTAATCCAGTTGATTTTGGGTTTACATAAACTATGGCATTTAAAGTAAGAGAAAGGAGTTCATTTTTTCTTCAATAGTTAGAGTAGGTGTTTTGAATGTTCTTTTTACACTTACACTTACGGCTTATGTCCACCAGAGGGCAGCATCACCCTGAAGAACTGCTCCTCCTGCTGCATCTGAAAGAGCAAAGTTCAGCAGGTCAGAATATGCAGCTAAGATTATACTTTCCCTATGGCCTGTCTGCATGTATGTAATCTTAGACTGTGTGTGAGGGCTCGAGAACGCGCATAACTCAGTGGCGCTGTGGCTTAGTTGGTTAAAGCGCCTGTCTAGTAAACAGGAGATCCTGGGTTCGAATCCCAGCAGTGCCTTTTTCTGAGAGTTAAGGTCCAGTCCTTCCACAAGCAATCATACAGTATGAATATATACTGTATCTATACCATCTCTGTTGTTATCATCTTAAAATGGAGTGGAACATTGGAGTAAAAGAACAACGCAGGGAATCCCACCTCATGCACATAAGTAGTATTTAGCAATCATGTACTTAGAATGATTAACATAGAACATGTATTTCACTCAGACTCCTCATTTCGTTTTAACTTTGAACATACTTTTGTCCAACAGTATATATAATATGTATTTAAGGATGTTGCACTGAAAGTAAAGCAGTGAATAGAAGATCCTATTTGAAAGTTGTTGCCTTATTATTAAAGCAGGGTCAAAAGAGAACATGGATAAACACTGGATAAAGTCTCACATGTGGGGTCGTACTGTACTGAATGAACTTTTCAACATTTAAATCAAACATAGCAAAAGAAATACACTAAAAGTTGAGTACTAAACTTTAATCAAACTCTTAAAATCTCTCAAGTTATATATTATTTAAATTCAATTACTACAATGCTACTTTGTATAAACGTTTCGTCCTGGTTGGCTCGAAGCTTGTCCTCTGATGTGAGTGCATTTACTAGACCAAGACAAATGTCTGTGGTCACTGTGTCTGGAGGAAATACACATCATGGTAGAAAAGAGCTGTAATTATATGACAACACCGGAAACATTACACTGTGTTTTTTGTGTGTGTTTAAGTCAACCTTATGTTCAGGCCTATACTTTCCATCATGCACATCGGTCACAGTCTTTCTCTGGTCAGTCTCAGTCAGTGATCCAGGAGAGTCTGGTTGGTGCCATGGATAAGTTTAACTTCTATGGAGAGAAAGGTGACCTTTTGACAAGTTATTGAGCCAATCAGTGGAGAGGTGACCTATCTGATATAAATTATGCATCAACTGAATTCTATATACTATTGAATACCACATCAGAACAGGGGTCTCCAACCGGTAGCGCAGGAGCTATCAGTAGCTTCCCACCTGCCTTTCAGGTAGATCCCCATAGCATTCACACATTTTCCATATGATGCAAATTGATTACATATCAATTTTAACCATACATGTTTTCAATAGTGAATAGCACTCTCGCATCAGAGCAAGAAGGTCCTGTGTTCAAATCCCGGTTGGAACAGAGTTTGCATGTTCTCCCCGTGTCTGCTCCGGTTTCCTCTGGGTGCTCCGGTTTCCCCTACCACTAAAAACATGCACAAAAGGTCTGAATGTAATGAGTGAGTGAATGGATAGTGTTGATTGGAGGCTTTGAAGCGTCAGTGTGTTCAGCGCCTCACTTCCGTCATCACCTTGTGGAGTGATTGCTATATAAATAAAGATTATTTACAATATGGGGTTTTACAGTATTATGGTATTTCACATAATGCTATCTGATTGAAACTGATAGAATATTCCAGGAAACAAGCAAGCGGTGGATCCTCCAAATAAGAATAAAGCTAAACCTGTTATAATCACTTATAAAACACTTCTGCTAAGTCATAGTTTCTTCCACACCTTGAAACTAATGGGGTCTTGACTTCCTGAGAGCAATCCAGTATTAAGTTATGTAATCTCCGGCAGTATGGGGATTCCGGGAAACACCTGATATCCACTTTGGAGCTTGCCGCAGTCTGCCGAGCGGCTCTTCTGCTCGAGTGCTGCAGTAGAACTGACCGTCCCTGAAGCAGAGGGCATCAGAGAGCGGCCCTCACTGCTCTGCTCTGTGAACTGGTGTGGAGACGCTTTACAAGACCATTCTCAGCGTCCGAGACTGTATCATGTTTGAGGTTTGAACAATCACGTACATGATTATGCTCTATGCTTATATGCATGAGAGCTGTAGAGGTCAACTAATGGTTTTATCTGGCTTTCATAATTTGAGGAGAAAATTGTCAATTTAAAAGAACAGAATTGTCCTGTCTGTGACACATGGAGCTCATAAGCACTTATTACTGATTCAAACCACCTGCTGGGGATTGGCAGATGGCACAAACTCTGTGCATTGAATTTGACTTCCAGGTTTCATTTGAATATGTGTAGGAATTTTGTAAAAAGTAAATACAATTAAAAAAATCACCTCGATCTCACCTAACAAACTGGCAACCCAAATGAGAGGCCCATTAATCTTTCTGAAAATTGCAAAAAATAAATATTGTCGACATCATGTCCTTTGTTTTTTTGTTCAGAAACGGTCAAATAGGATTTGTATTTGTGACCTGTTATCTGGAGACAAGTATAAGATATAATTTGAAAAGAAAATATTTACACTTTTAAAGGCTGATATTTTTTGAAAGACCACAAATAAACTGGAAGTAAGTCTGGTGCTGATGTGAATGTGCTATCAGAAATGTTTCATGGTTTATTTCCTGTTTTATTTAGCAACTTTTTACTCCTGTGCTTTCCTTTGTTCAGTTCCTGTGTGATAACCTGTCCTGCCCGCATGTTTATCACCTGTATATTGTTAGTCTTGTATCACCTGTATCTCCTTACTCTTGTATCACCTGTATCTCCTTACTCTTGGGCGGCACGGTGGCTGAGTGGATAGCACTCTCGCCTCTCAG